GCGCCAGATGCTAACGAAACAGTCAAAGAGCAAAGAATAAATAGTGCGCGAGATGCCAACGTAGCAGGCAAACAAAGCAAAGAACAAATAGTGCGCGAGATGTTAACGTAAACGTCAAACAGAGAAAATAACAAATTGTGCGCGAGGTGCTAACGTAACAGTCAAACAGAGCAAAAGAACAAATAGTGCGCGAGCTGCTAACGTGACAGTCAAACATAGCAGAAACAAAAGCTGTTAGATACTTACTCAACAGTTATACAAACCAGAGAACAAATATTGCGCGAGACTAACTAACCAGTCTAATAATAGACATGAAAAAAGTTCTCAGTTCTGATTGCTTAAGATGAATGCAGTTTTCACTTAATTCACTCTGATTGGTCAGAATGATTGGTAAATGTCGATATCAAGGTCAATGTCAAGGTCAATGTCACTTGCAGGGTTTGAATAAATTCTTTTTGCACGTGATGCGCGCGCTTTTCTTCTGCGTAGTTATGAGATGCTACCTCGTATTTTTTCCTGTATATTATCAATAGATAATCACATGATTTTCTTGTGTAATTTGGAATAAATAAGCACTTGTAAATTTTTTCAAAGACCACAAATTGCACTCGCCCTACGAGCTCATGCAATTTTGTTAGCTTTGAAAAACTTTACTCGTGCTTATTTATTCCAAATTGCACTCGAAATCATGTGATTACCTATACAAACAAACCAGGAAACAAACAGTACGCGAGATACCAACGTAACAACTGAACAAATTAGAAAAAAAAAACAGTACGCGAGATACTAACGTAACAGTCAAACAAACCAAAGAACAAATAGTGCGCGAGATATTAACGTAACAGTCAAACAGAGCAAATAACAAATAATGCGCGAGGTGCTAACGTAACAGTCAAACAGAGCAAATAACAAATAGTGCGCGAGGTGCTAACGTAACAGTCGAACAAAGCAAAGAACAAATAGTGCGCGAGATATTAACGTAACAGTCAAACAGAGCAAATAAATAGTGCGCGAGGTGCTAACGTAACAGTCAAACAGAGCAAATAACAAATAGTGCGCGAGGTGCTAACGTAACAGTCAAACAGAGCAAAGGACAACTAGTGCGGGAGCTGCTAACGTAACAGTCAAACAGAGCAGAAATAAAAGCTGTTAGATAGTTACTCAATAGTCACACAAACCAGAGAACAAATTTTGCGCGTGACACTAACGAATCAATTAAACAAACCAGGAAATAAATGGCGCGCAAGATACCAACGTAACAGTCAAACAAACCAAAGGACGAAAAGTGCACGAGATACTAATGTAACAGTCAAACAAACCAGGGAACAAACATTGCGTGGGATACTAACGTAACGGTTGAACAAACTAGAAAAAAAAATGGTGCGCGAGATACTAACGTAACAGACAAACAAATCAGAGAACAGACGGTGCGCGAGATGCTAACGTAACAGACAGACAAACAAGGGAACAGACAGTGCACGAGATGCTAACGTAACAGATAAACAAACAAGCGAACAGATAGTGCGCAAGTTGCTAACGTAACAGACGAAAAAATCAGAGAACAGAAAGTGTGCGAGATGCTAACGTAACAGACAAACAAACCAGGGAACTAATTATGCGCGAGAACTACTCCGGGGAAGTAGCCAGTGATAGCAGAGAATAATATATTTTACAAGCGACAAGGTTTGATAATCTGGGCTAAATTTTAAATGTAGTTTGGTCGACATGTATCTTCCTGGAAATGTTTTAGTTTTTGTGCCATCAGAAATATTAGAAAAAGGACAACGAACAACATTAAAAAAGTACCTTACCTCTGATAGTTTTAAAGTTTTTAAAGGTGCTCCTCACCTTTGCCTCCATATTGTGGCAGTTATATAGCAGATAATTTTTCAACCTAAGTTTTAAATGTGTACTTTCAGTTGCCGGAACGATTTCAACTTTTTATGAGTTATAACTAGTTGTTGTACAGTTAAACGTAAACATTTTATTATTATCATTATCATTACCATCTTTTTTTTTAAGGCTGGGATGGAAGTATCCCCGCGAGAAGTCAAACATTCTGTCTCCCCCCCCCCCTCGTGTGATCTTGAATACTGATTGTGAGGCACGCGGAAACTTCGAATTGAATTGCAAAGATATTTGTGATCATTAAGTATTCATTTTACTTGTGTGAGATCTTTTCACGTGGAGGTCAGAACTATGCTTTTCTACCTGGTTTGTAACCTTAAATTGTCTCTTTTGATCGGAAAACTCTTCATCTTACTTGTCCCAGACAATTGGAACATCTGACGGTAGAATTTAAAATGTTTGATGTCTTGAATGTCGACCTTTGGTGTGTAACGGTCCTCGCACGCAGGTTTTAGCAAGCGATGGCAAGTCAACAAATTCAAACCATGGGGACAGAGAAGTTTAGTCCTCTTTGAACTCATGTAAGTTATTTAGCTTCTCTCATCTGCTGCTCGTTATAATTTACTGACAATTTTGTGTGTTTTGAGAGTGTTAGCTCTTCTTTCCGTTCGTTACAAACAAAACCGAATGAGCGACACTCGGAAACTGTAGGGGTTTCATAAATATGTTATTGGTGTGCATCATCGTAATCCCGGAAGAGGATATTTTTGTATTTTAGTGTAAGGGTATTCCTTAAAGGTTATTTGAGCAGACAGTGGCAATTCGTAGTTAATAATAAACAACTGAATGGAGGCAAAAACGAACAAATATGACAATGACATGGAAATCGGGCTTCCATCGCTGCGCCGAGACTTTGGGATACCCTGGCAACAACTATTAGGAACGCACCGTCACTAACTACGTTTAAGTCGCTTTTTAAAAGTATTTATTTTTAAGTCGATTTATTTCAACTAGTACGCCTGCAACTTATTTTTATATTTTATCAATTTTAATTAGACTAAGTATTACTAAGAAGTGCGGGGGCATTTTGACTTTTACAGATAATACTTTATTCGACAGGAATTATCCCTTTTTATTACAATTTTAAATTTAGAATTTGTATATGTGAAATGTATGCGCCTAAGAACTGTTACTATGAGGTAATATTTTTGGGGGAGTGCTTCTGAATGTTTTTGAGTTTAGTAATCGTCTAAAAAACAACGGGGTAAAAACAGTCTGGCACCATTTAACCCCTCCGTTAAAATCTTACCCAAAATTCTTAGTAGTATGGCTACCCTAAAACAACTCTTATGTGTCTTAAAAGCTAAAAAGAATTCAAGGAATAATTATTATTTGGAGAAGTAAAGTTGAATCATGCCCCCTCTCATAAAAACCATTCTCAAAAATTCCCGATTTTTTTCTCCGAGCCAGACCCCGACCGCATGATGAAACTTTACTGCTGTGTGGTGTGATGCTAAACCTATTCTATTCAGATCTTTGCTGGTTGTTCATCGTCACTAAATTGTTTCTAAATCACTTTTAAGGCAATCGAACATCAAGAAGGATGGCATGGATAAGAGACAAGATGAATTCTATGGAAACATATACAGTCAATACAGGTCAGTTTATTATTTATTTCCTGCTCTAGGTTTTTCTGTAACGGTTAACCCTTATCTTTCTTAATTTTTGTTGCACTTGAGTGTTTCACCCTCAATTTTAAAAGAATTATTTCCAAATGGGAAGATTAAACAGTGGGTAAGGAAAAACAAAAGAAGATCAAATTTGCAAACAGGGAAGTTTAGGTATAAATGAAAAAAAAGGGCGTTAAGCATTTGCTCAATTGTGTTTTGAACAACAATTGAAGGCATTTTCGCCTTTGATATTACGATGGTAATGCGAGAGAATGTTTAAGGTCTAAAGAACAGCTATGAAAACTTTCCAGAGTCGAACCAATAAGACACCGAAACTAGTTTCCATGGCAACGTAACTAGTGGTGACTTTCAACTACTTGTTGATTTAAATATCTTCCTTGTCTACTTTTTTGACAAAAATCTTGTTCACGCACTGAAAGAATCGTTTTATTTCACGTCTATATTGTGGTAAAAAACAAATCGAAAACGGTTTAGTGTGGTCTGTGCTCTTATCGATAACGATATTCATCATAACAGTGGTCAAAATGTGAGTGAGTTGCGGACTCGCGCTAAACCACTGTCGATTTGTTTAGTTTACCTGAGAACAAAATAACAAGGAGTGTTTCGTCATCACGAAAACAGTTGAATTACGAAATTTTTAAAGTATCACTGAAATGTATTCACAAGTTTGATTTAAAACTTTTACAATCGTTTCTTCGCACATATTTATTTTAAAAGAGTTAATGTCCTTATTAAGCGTTCTCTGTAGACCTGAGCCGTACATAATTTAAAGATGAAGGGTTTTTATCGAAAAATTCTAGAAAGTGGGTTAAATCAGAGTTAACTTTTACCGCTTGCTGTGACGTTCTTGTGAAACCGTTCCACCCCCATGAGTAACCAACCCTCTAATAACAAAATTTGCGCGAAAGAAATATCAATGATCAGATATCAGTTGTTTAATTTAACGCAAAAATCTCAGAACTAAAATCATAAGATATGTATGACAGACAGTTTGGAGAATTGATGATCAGATCTTGGGGGCGAAAAGGTTAGCTGACTCGATTAATGCCAATGCCAAGTGTGTTGCCATGATTTTACCCCTTAGAAAATTACGCTATTTACCACTTTCATAAATGGCTGCCGGATTAAAATTCTTTTGTTTACATATAAATTTGCCTGGGTGGCCTCGTTCTCCAGTACAGAATTCAAAAGAATACGTTATCTCAAGCGTGGCCACTCGGGCAAATTTAACTTTAAAGAAAAGAATATTAATCCGGCAGCCATTTATGAAAGTGGTCTATAGCCCAATTCTTTGAAACAAATGAAATACTAAATACTTTTAGAATGAGAATTGCTTCTTCAGCTACATACGATATTTTTGTTCTTTGAATCTAAGCCAGCTTGACGACACGAAGAAATATTTTGCAGGCCGGGGAAAATACCTTCGAAATATCTTTTTAATAGACTCCTTTAAATGTGTTCAAGATTCCTCAACTTTAATTTTTAGTCGTCTGTCGTCGCAATCGTGAACTTGAAAATTAATCTAGTATTATGGTTAAAACCGCCGGCGAAACAACGCAAATAAAAAATCTCTTCAATGGATGGTATCTGTGTATACCCGAAAGTACTGTTACTAAATCATTTTTTATTTCTTTAGATCTGAAAGATTTCAAGATCGTATGAAGCAAGAAGCCTTCAAGAAAAGATGATGCTAGAGCGGGATTGAAGAATTCTCTTGACTGAAATAAAGCTTGTCAAAAGTCACGTTTCCCCTGATAAGGAAAGAAATCACGAATAGACGCGTGTTGTTTTCGAGGAAATTCTGTACTACGTTTGCGCTTTTAAAAGGGCCACTGAAATTAATACAAAGAGTTTGGAAAATAAATAGGTCTTTTGGCGGGAAAATTATTTCTTGGAATAACTGAAAAATTAAAAAAAAAAAATCTTCCCTTCAGTAGAATAATTGAGAAGCTTAAAATTGTTCGCAAAAATATCAAGTATTTTGGCGAGAAAATTGTTCCAGGAAAAAAAAGTCTGCGCTTTTAAATTGTCTACTTTTGATCGAAAAATATACTAAGTTTTTTGGCGGGGAAAATCTCGGTTCGTGCTGACGATTTTCTCCTATCAAAAAACAAGTATATTTTTGTTTAATGCTAGATGCTGTTCAAATCCGCAGAAATTGTTTTCCTCTCGGCAACCCCTCCTACGCAAAAAAAAAGTAAAAGAGATAGCTCATATTTTGACTAGTTACCAGGCCTTTTAAAAGCGCAACAATTTTTTTTAAATTTGTATACTTAAAGAGAAAAGGAACAGACAATACTGGGGAAATAAAGTTTTATTTGTTTGTCCTTTTATTCACTTGAGATCATGACAAAATACTAAATCTAGCTGGAGAATAAATTTGAACAAAGTTAAAGATTTACAAAATCAAATTATTGTCTTAAATATGTGTTGGAACATTTCGACCAAATTAAAATTTGACGGTATGAGAGTTTACCCTAAGCGACAATAGCATTGAGAAATGATTAATATTCAAAATTTACAATGGAAATTTGAACAAGAAAGTTAAAATTAGAGTCTTGAATACTCTTTAGAAGAACGTGTTTCCAGTGACTGTACAGAAAACAGGCCAAAGTAAGTTTCAACGTATTCTAATATTGAAAAAAAATTCACTGCAATAAGAGAAATAATCATTGTCACCAAAATACATGTCGTGATGAGATTAAAATATTTCATGCCGGCAGGAATTGACGTTGTAGCGTTTTCCAAAGAAAAGCTTTGCAAGAAATCATTGTTAGTGTCTTTCCTGACAGCTTACACTGAATTAGGTAACAGATTGTTTGGTTTTTGTGTTCGCCAAATTATTTCCAGTTATTTGTTGAAAAGTGGCCTTTAAAAATCCTTGACATTTTCACTCGAGATGCTCCGAATTTTTTTAGGAGTCAGCGGAAGCGCCCTCCTAACAGCTTAACTTTATTAAATTTTCGAGATCTCGTGATTGTGTTTACTTTGCGCCAAATTATTTCCGTAAGCTTTTCAGCTCCTTCCCAAACGATATGAACTTGAAATGAAACAGAAAATTTGCTCTTCACCTGACAATTTAAACTTGCTTAACTTTGAAAAATCTGATCTGTGCTCTCAAATAAATTTTAAGGCCATTTTTTTCAGCAATTCGTGACCAAATTAGTTCTGCAGGAAACGTAGTCGCTAGGTGCAAGTTACAGTTGGTACCTTTAACATTGATTTCAACTCTCTCCAATAACTGAGCTACTTTTTCTTTAGTTCAATCTTGTCTTGACTCTCCAAGCTTGTGGTCCACCATCAACAAGGCGTGTCGCCAGGACATCAGGACTGCAATATGATGATACAAACGAAAATTTAAAAAATTTGACGAAAAATAAACTTGAATAACGCAAATAAAAGTGATAAAAATGGTGAATTGTTGTAGATACAGTTAATTTACTTCGCCTCCACTTTAGGTCTCCGAAGTTATTGTCCAGACTTGATGATCACCACAAGTAAACGTACCAACAGGAGAAAATTTCACCAAAATTTTGAAATCGACTGCATGTTGGTTCCTCTTTTTGTAGCAGTGATCATAATTTATTAAANAACTGAATCTGGCAGCTAAATTTCGTTTTCAAAATCTTTTTAATGCAGTCGGGAAAGATTTCCGTATAGCCCCATACTCTTCCAAAACGAGTCAAGGGTCAGTTTCTCCTCCATCAAATAGTTGTTGCATAATTAATTATTGGGTTTTACATAGAATCCCAGCTGCAGTCTAGCTGAGATGATTTTTAAGTAAAATAAAATAAATTTTCACCATCTGTGGGTTATTCACACGATTAGATCTAGAATTGCAAAGTTCATTAGAGCAGGCCAGGCTCATTTTTAAATGTGAAAAATGAAAAGAGCTTGAAAATACGACACCTGAACAAAGCGACTAACAAATACTCGAAATTTTGGAAGCATTAAGGACGAGTGGTTCACGTTACTTCGTGCCCGGTACTTTCTCAAATACTTTTCAAATCTTTTGATGCTTGTTTTAAAAAAAAAAAAGAAAACTCCATTTTATATTTTACCTCGGCCAGCAAAGAAAACCAGAAATTGAGGGTTACTTCACAGTTTTCAGTTAAAAGGCAACGTTTTTGAGCGACAACTCTTTGCAAAGCGCAGACAAGTTTGTCTACATTCCAATCATTCTTTGTTAGCGACAAATCTTTGCGCCCGTGAATCCTCCGAAAATTATTTGCATATCGTTTATATTCATTTCTCTTGCCGACACTGCAAATACGTTATTTAAATGAACATTTTTGGCTTTTGGTCCGGCTGATTAACACCGCTTTGTGCATTTCTCACGGTTGCAGTCACATGTACAGATTAAGAACTTGTTTAAAAAGAAGCTAGATTCATTTAGAAATCGTTTTTGTTTTTGGAGCAAAAGAGCTTGAAAATACGGCACTTGAACAAAATAATCCACAAATACTCGAAATTTTGGAACAATTGGGAAGAATGGTTCACGTGCTTCGTACCTTGTATTTTCTCAAATATTTTTCAAAACTTTCGATGCTCATTTCGAAAAAAAAAAATTTCGTCTAATATTTTTCCTTAGCCAGCAAAGAAATGTAAAAAGGGAGGGTTACTTCACCGTTTTCAGTCAAAAGGCAACCCTTTCAAGAGAACCCTTTTTGCAAAGCGCAGAAGTTTGTGAACATTCCAATCATTCTTTGTTAGCGGCAAATCTTTGCGCCCGTCAATCCTCCAAAAAATAATTTGCATATCGTTTATATTAATTTCTCTTGCTGACACACGTAAACACTTTATTTAAAACAATATTTTTGGCTTTTGGCCTGCTGATCAACATGGTTTGCCCAATTCTTCGGATTGCGGTCACATGTACAGATCATAAACCTGTTTAACAAGAAGCAACCTCGTTCCCAGGGCCTTTTCCCTTAGCCCCACCCCCAACTCCACACCCAACTAAGGGAAAAGGCCCTGGGAAACGAGGTTGAACAAGAAGCTAAATTCTGAAGCTTACCTTTACGTAATTCTTGCCTTTTTTTCTTGTGTTCCTTTTCACTCCCATGCTCGATTTAAGATTCCTCATTCATATCAGTTCATCTGCAAAGGAAAGATACAACACCGTTATTTCTTGAGGTTTAACAAGACTATAAATCAGGTTACGGAACGTTAAATTTGAAGAGCTCTGATAGAAAAAATAAATTAAAATAATTAATCAAGACGTTTTCTGCCTACAACCCTCATCTACCCAAGAAATTTTCAACAACAATTCAGCGAGAATCAGTCTTAAACTTCTCACTTTTTACTTTGTTTAAATTTACCGCCAAGTGACGACCACGCTACCACGCCACCTCTCGGGTTACTAGGTGGTTGATGCTCTGCTTAGATAAATTTTTCCTTCGATATCTTCACAGATACCTTTGACGCTATCAAACAGAGATGAGTGTGGAATCGCTTGCTGTGAACACAATTGGATAGTGAACTATTAATTTACAGTCTCCCTAATTCGTGAAGTGCAGTGTACAGAAGAAGTTAACTGTTCACTTCTACTTTACCTTGTGTTCTGTATTGACATGGAAAACTTGTCAAGTTGGTCCAAGTCAAATTCAAGTAAAAAGAGTAATGTCTCCACGTTGTTTCTCTCCTTGTTTAGAAGAAAGACTTGATTAACTGACCATTTTTCCTTGTTCTTTCTTTCCTACGACGTAAAACAGTTCTAACCACGAGGAATCATAAAATGGAAATGAGACGAAAGATTTCACGTGCAAATTCAGCCTTGCGGAAAATATCTTGGAAGCGAGGTTGGCGTAAATTTGCATCCAGAGAAGCTCAAATCATATTGCATGATTTTTATGGCTATATATATATATTTTTCATAAAAATTGGTTTGCACGCACGAAAAAAAGAAGATTAAAAAGTCCCAGTGTCAGGTACAATAAGAAATGACAGAGAAAAGATATTAATTAAAGGAAAACGCGCATGAGGGAGCATACTCAATTTTCCGGCAGATGCTGTCATGCAAGGTAAAGATTTTTGGAGGACTTAACACAAAAAAATAGCGCCGACTCAGAGCTCAGAAAGGAATTTTAAGTGAATTTCGGAGGCGTGCAGTGCAAGCAATCGAAATTCACGGAGACCGGTTGAAGTTTTCAGTCGAATGTCTCAACGGGCTTATTGGCTGAGTGAGAAAAATGTTTTTTCTGGTGGTAGTGTGTGTGGGAACGGAAAAAATCCTGCGCCATGGCGGCATTACCCGATCCAAATTGCTAAAAATCTCTGGGATGGTGTTTCCGTGATATAGCGCAAACATACTGCAGTGTTGGTGCAAAATTAGAGACACAGTTTTTAGGTTATTTCAGATGTCTAAGAGAATTTTCCAGTGTATTTGTTTTTTAGTTTTATTTCACTTTCTATTTTAGGTGAAGTTCGTTTGTGTTTTTTTTTTTCCTTAATAAGTTCAGGCTATGATCCTATTAGTGCTGTATGGCAATTGGAATTACAGGTGATAGTCAAAGAAAGCCTCTGGAGGTTTTCACACTTTCCCTTTCTAACAGTCCAATTTTCAGGGAAGTCGATCCCCCGAATACGATCACAATTTCTAAGGGGAAAACAAAACAATCAGATGAACAAGATATATTCAATTTTTTTTGTATGGAAAAAAACTCTTAGGAAGCCTTACTTGAAATGAACCATGAATGGCCTGGGGAGACTTTCCAATTGCTATGAAGTGAGACTTATGCATGTGCAGGTAGCCATGTAGTATTTTATTACTATTAACCTATTACTAAAAACAATTTAGTCAAGGAAAACAAAAGACCTAGCTCATACATACTAATGAGGCAGATGAGTCGAGCTTAAGCGAGCATATTTGAAATTTAGACACGCATATATTTTTTTTTTAATCCACACTTCCACGTGATTATTTATTGCAGTTTTTGGTTAACTTATATCTGAGGGGTACTGTACTACATATTAATTATTTCACCGGTTTGATTGCAAACAGGGAATAGAGCACAACTGGTTCCACAGGCAAACACCTCGCACACAAGTTTTATATAACTTAACCCAAACTTGAAAGAACAACAACATAATGAAAAAGAAAATACTTTGCTTTATTGGTGTTTTCATCATAAAAAGTACACTTTTTCTGACTAAAATACTAGCACCTTCCAAGGTGTTATAACATTATTAATGGAAAACCTATGAATTAAATATTTTTGTGATCTGTTACTCATGAGAACAGCAAAAATGTGCAATCCATCACCTAAACCATGTTGACCACACCCTTGAATAATTTATTGATATTGGATGTTTTTTTATTGAAATTCGAATTCTAGAGTTCAATTCTTGAAAACATAACTTAAATCTAGGTGATGCACAAGTAATACATAGTAGATCAAGAAATTCAAATATCAAAGACTTAGAGCTTTAGCTCCATCAGCTGGACTGGTCACTACGCATGTAGCCTTGTTTCCATAACCCTCCTGGTGAAAACAAAAAAAACAAAACAAAAAAAAAGGATAATTGAAAACAACCAAGGATTGGTGCAGGCATTTGCAAGATAATTAACAATTAGATTATAGGCAACATATGTCTATGGCAATAATTGATAAGGGAAAGGCTCACATCAATTATCATTCATTGCTCTGATGAAGAGCTAATGCTCCAAATGTCTGCTTAAAGTGATTAACATGAAACTTCTCCCTATAATTTCCACACATGATCAAGCAAACAGGTAATGAGAATGCTCAAACTTATCAGGCAGAAGTAGTTCTCCTGATCTAACACCAAATTCTCCTGACTAATTTCCAAGCAAATGTGTAGCAGCTAGAGGGGAGAATTAACAAGCAGATCTTGGAAGTTAAAGGGTTCAGGCGGCCAATTTACATTTTCAACTTCGTTGATAAAACCAAATAATATTGTAATACACCTCAGCCACACAGCTCCAGTTTCTTTAAAAACTTACCCCTTTAATTAATTTATCAGGTAAAGTGATTATAGAGCAAATAATCTAACAGTAATTGTTTTAGCATAAATTTTCTCACTGTTCACAAATTAAAAACAAGACAGGATCATGTTTCTAATCTATTTTTTTAATGAACCTCCAATGATAAGCAACTAACTATACTCTCTGTCAATGATGGTATAGAGAGCAAGTTGCTTGACCAATCAGATAACAGCATTTGTGGAAGAATGACGAAAGATTTATACTAACACCGGATGATGGTAAATTTGACATGATTTTGATTAAAATATTACTAAACAGAATATTATGTATCATATCATATCATATCATCGCCCAAGTCAAGATGATTGTAGTATTAAAGCAACAACTGTTTTCAAATGGCCAGTGTGATTTTTTTGAGAAGAGTAAAAAAGACAGACAATTTGAATAATCAAAGAGAGGTCTTTGCTTCAAAAATTCAAGACCACAGTCAACTTTTTTCCAATAAATACTGAGCACCCACTCCAAAAAATATATCTGCACTACCACACAAACTTTGGAGCCATTAGTAGTGTAGTAAAACTAACCTGAATGTGTTTTATAAGACTGTCAACTGAGGACTTCTTCACCACAGTAACAGTGCACCCACCAAAGCCACCACCTGTCATACGGGAACCATACACACCATCTACCTCCATGGCAAGCTTAACCAGTACGTCAAGCTCTTCACAACTGACTTCATAATCATCTCTGTAATCAAACACACAAGAAAATTTAACATTGATATTTATGACATAGTAACAAAGAATTTAATTGAACACATATGGAGACAAAAATTAAAAATGAGCACAGTCACTTCACATAAATTTTCTAAATCTACCAAATTCACTCAGTCATGATGTCTGGATGTAAGCCAGTTGTTTTTTGGTTAGGTGTGTTTTTTAGAACATTTTACACACAACTCCTACGAAATCCATTATATTATTATTATGGCTAAACAAGTTAAGAAAAAAAGAGATTTTTGTAATATCCCATAAGATTACAGTAAAAGAAAATTGCCCTTCAAATAACAATGCATGTAACCAAGAGCTGGCAAAATACGATCACTTTCCAAACATGGGTAACCAGTCAAAGAACAGGGTCTGCTTCACCTTGCCCCTTTATCAAGCCAACCACACAACAAATACATAAATTTCTAACTTAAGATATATTTAGCTAGTGGTCAAATCTCATACAGTTTTAATATATTACCGTAATGAGTTGTGACTCTCCACCATCAGTTTTCCAAACTTCTCATAGTCTTCTTTTTCAATGGCTGCCGCAGCTTCAGTAGTTCTTTGAATTTCTCCAATAACTTGCCTCGCTCTGCGGAACACAACCTCTTCAAGCTTCCCTTTGTTGGCTATGAATAAGAATAAAATTTTGTTGTAGTTCATTTCAAATGTGTCATGCATAATAACTCATCATATAACGCATATAGCTCCACGACGGAACAAGTTTAAGTCAGCTGTAGCAGAAAATGCCATTCAGCCCACCCTTGGGTTACTCTGAAGCATTATATTTTTGAACTTAAAATTAAAAGAAAAGAGAAATAAGAAAATAAGTTGTATTCTTTGAAAAATGGTAACTTTCTTGCTCAGAAGTAAAGAAAGAATGAAAAGATTTCATTGTAAATATTTTTTGTAGTTGTCCAACATGTCACTTCCTATTTAGTTTCAAAGATCAGCTAGTGTATGCCCAAGACAAAAAAATACAAAATACTTTTCTATCCCATTTACCTTCCAATTCAGCCATAGAAGCTTCTCTAAGACTTGGTTTTCCTAATGCCACTGCTGCTGATTCACATTGTTTCCTTCTTGTTGGATATTCACTCCCTGTTAGCTCATGCCGCACATTGGAATTAGTTACTAGGACAACTAAATCAGGGTTTGTCATAGGCACAAGTTTGGCTTCCATAGATCTAGAGAAAAAACATTCAACTTGCATTGCCATAATCATTTCAATGCCACAGTGACCAGACCATCAGATAACTGACATAACTAATTCTGCACACACTGCTGCTTAGACAAACTATGCCAGTTTGATTAATATAATAATAATAACAATAATAACTAGAACTATTTATTGTAAGTGTGTAAGCATGCAATGGAGATGGAAAGGTCGAGGGTTCAAGCCCCAGCCGGACTAACACTCAGGGTCTTAAAATAACTGAGGAGAATTTGCTACCTTTCTATAATATCAAGAAATGGATAGATATTCTAGTCTTCTCGAATAAGGATGAATAAACCATAGACCCCGGCTCCTGCAGGGTTCGAGCCCGGCCGGACCAACACTCAAGGTCTTAAAATAACTGAGGAGAATGTGCTACCTTTCTAACATCAAGAAATGAATAGACATTCTAGTCTTCTCTGATAAGGACGAATAAACTTTAGGTCCCGTCTCCTGCATCTGTTAATTAGTTCATTTGGTTAGGCAGGGGATGTTAAAGAACCCACTCATGAGGTTACTGTGACGTGGTCTGGCCTGTTTACTGGGCCCGCAGTAATTGGCGCAAGCTGTCGCAGAGTCCCTGCCTGTCGCTGAAGCTAATAAATTAAAAAATTAAATAAAATTAACTCGCGTCCAGTCTTACTTTAAAGTGCTACTGAAACGAAATTTTCGTATCTGAAATTTTTGCTCTAACCTGTAGTTTTGAATATGGTGATCATCATGAGATAATTTGCTTTGGCCAAAATGAGGCGAAAGATATCTTTTTAAACCGTTCAAATCAAAAATTTTACACAAAACCATGTCCGGGCTCTGGTACCGAGCGAAATGGATTGATGACGTCACTGGTTGTGTTCACTCCGATAGCGTGGTTTATTTCACTCACTGTTTGTTTGTATTCGTGGGCGAAGGAGATGGCAGATATTGAAGTTTTGTCAAGTGAATCTTCTTCTGAACGAAGCGAAGTTGTCTCCAGTAGCGAAGAGGAAGATGGTGGCGTAAAATGGGGTTGACAGGCCTACACGACTCCCAAGCGTGTGTTTAGAGTAGCCTATTCAAAGTTTAGCCCTCACGAGTATGTCTTTGAGCGACCGCCCTCTTTTGTAAGATACGAGCGGCGGATTTTTGTATAGTTCGCTCAGTAGTGGTTGTGTTTCTATTAAATGCCAGTTTTTCATGAGAATTTGCTTTATGTGTGGCACTGAGTACGCACATCAGGGATTGCGTCTTTTTCGAATCGTTCGCCTTTGTAGATGTACAGCTATTTTTTTGACTGTCTCGATCGTTAAGTTGTCTTGATTGCTTTCAGCTTGCGCCACGCGCGCTGATTCGATCGTACTACAGTTCTTAGTGTTCAGTGTTCCAGCCGTTTTGGCTCGTTTTCTTTTCTTTATTTCGGTATTAAAACGACCGATTTCACGTTCATAGAAGCACATGATCGCCTTTACTGTTTCTTGCTCCGCGTTGTTAAGGATTTGCTTTATCTCATTTTTGAAATCCTCGTCTGCTCTTATTTTGGCCCTCGCCCTATATTGTAGGGATTCTGGGCATGTTCTGCTCC